TGTGGTCCACCCTTCATCCACCTTACCCTAACATTCACTTAAGGAATGTGGTTTATGTGTTTGTCTTTTGAGTAAAAATAACAACAGTCTTTAGCCAGTATCACATACCCCAGTACAGGTAAAAATGTGCTGTTCATCAAGTGATTCAGAGGCATTTTATCCACTAAAGTAAAGTGGTCGGAATATGATTTTTTTTTTTTTTCTGTAGATTTTCAGCTATGTTGACAAAATGAATCTGAACTTTCATAATACAATAATGGGAAATGCAAGGCTTTACATTTCCTTTTAACGCTATTATCTTTGGGAGAAACGTGAATTATTTTGTAATCCTGAAAGCTAAAAATCCTTTGCCATCTTGCAATAATGACAAATTAAACCCATTGTCACTTGGTATTACACAGTAAGTAAAATGGTCAAAGTCAATTACAAGCTCATGTGGGTATGATGTCAAAATTAAATGAATCCAGTGTCACTAAATTGTTTCTGTGGCTTCAACTATGGCTTCACCAACTTGCATCAATGATCTTTGTCCAGAACATTAACCCTAACTCTAACCCTCTCTCTTATAGATAGACCCACCCATGGGTCTATCTATAAGACCCATGGGTGGCTGTGGCTTAGTTGGCAAAGCTTTTTGTCTCTCACTGGGGATCGAACCCCCAACCACATGTCAGATGTGTCCTTGGGTAAGACACTTAACCCCAAGTTGATCCTGTTGCTTTGTTGGCGCCGTGTGAATGTGTATGAATGGGATTAGTTACTTCTGATGGTCACTTTAAAATAGCACCACAGTGTGTGAATGTGTAGATGTGACCTGCGGTGTAAAAGCGCAGAAGAAAAGTGATATAAAAGCTCAAGTCCATTTAGCCAGCTTTCACACCAGACAAATAAACTCCTCAAAAAAAGTTTGGAAACAATATTTCAGTCACTTATTTTGCCCCTTTAATAATACTAATTTGTGTTGTGTTTTATATTGTTGGAAAGCCTGATTAGTCACCCTTATAACGAGGTATATAACTTGTAAGGATTGTGCATCGTGGAAAGAGCAACATAGCTAAACGTGTGGGTAGCGCCCCAAAAAAATACACCAACAAAAGAACATTGCAGGGCATTTTGGCACATTTTGATAAGCTCCTTTCTATACAGGAGAAAATGGAATTAATTTATATACTTTTTGATGGTGTTGAAGCAGGGGGGAAGAGGGGGACTTGAATTGCCCCAGCTTTTCTTAAATTCTGGATGCGGCTCTGAAAATGACACAGATAAGGATTACTGATGTTATCACAAATACACCTGCTTTAACAAGATCAAGCAGGGGTTTTCAGACATTGCTGCATTTGCTCCTCTTATCCTTGATCCTCAGTTCTCATCACCGGTTTAACGTCATCAGCATTCGTCATCTCTCAGCAGGTGACTTTTTGCCTGAGGCTGAGATTTAGAAAAGATGTCTGTAGACTAATTTTAGGGAAATAACTTCTCAAACTAATGGTTACAGCCTGCCACAAAACAGAACAAATAAGTCACTTTCAAATTTAAAACAAATCTGGGCAATTTTTAATTTTTTTTGTTTCGTAAATTGCCTCATAAATAACCGTAATAACTTGTAATATTATTTCAAAGGCCAACTCATGAAGCTTGATTTGTTAGATTTTCCAGTACAGGAAATGGTCGGAATGATAGATACATTTGTATGTTGGAGTTGCCACTTGAGAGACACTTTATGAAAGTCCAGGAAGATTCACAAACATGAATATAACTATGGGGATCTCTCAGGTATTCCTCCGGCTTATTCCATCACTGTCAATTCAGTAAACCTGATTTGTTTGAGTTCGACTTCGCTCACACGCTTGCAGTGAAAATAATCACTGTCACAAACTCCAGGAATAAACATCACATCACTCTGCTTTCACGCTCTGTCTCTCTCCATACATTTGGATAATGCCCCATCTAGTGGACAGTTTTATATTGCTATACATCTTTTGTTTTTGCATCAGAAGTTGTATTTTTTAACCACTCCTTTGCAGCTGAGACAGAAAAAGCAGAAAAAAGTTTATCTGCGTCACTGCCACTGTTTATTTTTCGCCTACAAAGAGAAAAAGTCGGCCAACACAACAGATGTGTGACAAGGAAAAGTGCATTTATTTAAAGAACATTGATTGTAAACAAAATTAAACTGCTTTCTACATCAAATTTTATGTACATGTTCAGCTACATTTTCTGAGTTTTGTCATCCTTGATTTAAGCTTTATGGATCTTGCTACTGACCAATACATTCTTCAATGTTAATTGAAAGCAACTTAAAACTGGAATCAGGTATCTTGTACATGTACACTACAGCCATAAGGTTGATTCTGGAGCCATTTATTCAATATTTTTTGACGCCCCATATATAATTAAATAGCCTATAATAAAGACCTTAAAGATGAGGTATACCATTTTCCCCCCAAATCTATTTAAATGAAATGACCACATGCCCATATGTTCTTAGTAAGAGTTAGCCGTGTCATACTGTAAAGGCATGATTTTAATTCAGGCCATGAAGAGTCTTCACTCTGAGTGAGTGGGTGTTTCAAACCATACAGTATTTTTTTAGCATAAAATGTCTCTTTGTGTTTCCACAGACCATCAGTCTGTTCCATACTGCAGTGTCATCATAGTAACAAAAAGAGGAATCACATGCTTAAAAAGGCTTTTATTTCAAGTTTGAATGGCCAATGTTGATTGGAAGAACAATTGCAGCTGATAACTCAAAGTACATTAAAAGCATCTCAGTTATTTTATTTAAAAGACAAAAAAACATGTACCTATCTTTTAAGGTAAATCCTGTATTTGAACTAGTCTTTATGCTTTTATTATTGTTATTTTTATTATATTTTGCTTACATGATATATCCCTGAAGGATGTTTTGTCAAATAACTGAATCAAAGTTGGCACTAAGTATTATGTAGGGGGTTTTATAAGGCAAGGAACAAGGAAGTCAAAGGGAGGCAGAAAGGTTACATTTTGTCCTTAATCCAGCCCTAAGAATCTGAGGGGAGCTGTCCAGTGCTGAAAACACGTCAGACTCAATCACTATTATGTGTATATTGCAATGCATTGTTTGTGTTTTATAGCTACTAAAGGTGTCACAAAATTCCCTCTTAACAGATCTCCCGGGGGATTGTGGGTGATTGCTTGTGATTGGCTGTCTTGTGTGTGTCCACTCACGTCTCGAGTGTTCCTGTGTGATGGTGTGGTGTTCCAGATTAATTGCTGGGTTTATAATTAGCTTCATGGATTATTTCTGGACTGGCCCATTTGTGCTCGCCGCTTGTACGATTCATTCTTGGTTTCTCACTGCCACCTTGTGGACTTTCGTTTTTCTTCCTGTGAGATGTGTCATGGTGTCGTACGTTACGTCTTCACCATTCAAAAAACATCCTGTCTGCACAAAAAGTGGGCAAAATCAGATGGAATAGATAGACGACAAAATTATAGGATCAAGATCATCTGCAAACTTCTTTATTGGTGTGTATTTATTAAGAACTGGTAGCGAAATCACCAAATGGATTGGATGTGGGAAATAAATAATTTAAAGAAATTAAAGGAGCATCCAGGCTCGTGATTTAGCCTTTTTTTTCTCCTGTTGTCTCCTTGTTTTTTTCCACAAGAACAAAACCCATATCTGGATCTCTCCCCCTCCCCTCTTTGATCCTGATCCCTCCTCACGTAATGTGTTGCTCATAGCATCAAAACTTCAAGTCCATGTTCGTGACCGGGATTCAAATCAGAGCTATAAAGATCTGAAGACAATCAACACTTCCAAAAGTCACAGTTTAGGGTCCGAAAGCAGCGACATTCAATGTCAAAGACTCCCGGACTGTCTGCAGACAGGCTCAGCTCCACAGATGTGCAGCACCGCTGGAGGTTTCAGCACTCACAGTGACTCATTCGTGCTCAATGACAATAAACAGACAAGGCTTGCTTTAATTGTCCGCAAATCAAGCCTTCTTCAACAAAAGCAAGGTCACCTTGTGGGATCTATAGCGGAGCACTGAAGTACAGAAATAGTCCTCCTCCTTTTTCTTCTTCTTCTTGGAGTAGCACGGCAGTCTCTTCTTCTGGGATTAATTGGTGGTAAATTCGGGGTTTTTTCAACCCTTTTTTCTTTCTTGATCTGCACCTGTTCACCTGGAGCCACACACACATAAGTAAGTGACTGTTCATTTTTTGGGGTTTAACGCGCCTTAACTAAACAGACTCTCATCTTGGAGATGCTCTAACAGGTGTTTTATGAGGTTTCTCTCTGCAAAGAAAATTACAGGTTCAAATGACAAAATTGGTCTGTGGGTTGTATATATATTGCAAGTGTAAACTGTTCAAGTTGAAGAGTTGAAATGTTTCGTTATATAATATTCTTATACCTAAATGGCGCGTTAGTAAAATTATGCATGTGTTTCTTCTCTATGGCTATGGCTGACTTTAACCTGCACCATAGTCACTAATGCAGTAATCACATTGTACTGTTTTCAAAATAAAAGCCAGGGAACTGGTCACCATACAAGCCAAATATGAAAATATTTAAAATGACAATAATCTGCTTTTTGAATCGTTATTTGCATGTTTTGGCCTTTTTTTGTGCATGGCCTTTCCTTTAGAAATGAATTATGTGACCCAGGTTTCATGTGATATTTTCTGTGGTGAGCATTTTATGATATGAAAAGGAGAATCTGTGTGTTTGCTGTTTGCCATCATCCATCCTCCCCAAGTGGGAGCACTGGTGGACCTGTACTTCTTCTACCAGTGAAATGTTATGGCGGAACTTATAAGTATCATTTTTTTCTATCTTTGCATTTCAAGCCGATTAATGAGATGTTAACTTGTGAGACAGGCTGTGTCCTTGTTGTCTACAGGTCGCAAATTTGAGCATCTCTTTTTTTTTTTGTTCAAGAGCCGCATTCAAAATGCTCTACCGGTTTTGTCTCTTTCTCTCTTTTCTTCTTGAACATTTATTCAGAGAGATTTTGGGGGCATTCAAGGGGGAAAAAAGAGTCAGGCTTTTTGAGGTGAGGACTTTGGCACAGGGTCTCGGGAGTGATGGCGGCGTCTGCACCCTCCTCCTCCTCCTCTGGCGGCGAACCGGATCCAAACTCGACAAATTTACGACCACCGGGCTCAAGTAGGTCCATCACAGATAAAATGCTATTTCACGTGTGCTATTTACTTTGTGGGCAATGCCATAAATCATTTTCATCGAGGGGGAGAGAGGGGAGGAGGAGGGTGACAGAGGGAGGGTGGGGGGGGGGAAGAAAATCCGCTGCCATTGAAAAGGCTTCCTTCGTCACAAATCACCACCGTGTTTCATTGAGCATCTCACAGACCTCCCGGCTTCTGCTGACAGACGAATCTGCTGTCAAAAGCTGCTGTCCTCTGCTATCATTACACAGACGGCCATCAGCCAGAGGCAAGCCACCGGAACAGCTGATCAGGAAGCATTCAGAGAAATTATTCTTATTAGTTTATGTTGTTGTATAGCCTAACAATTATTATTATTATTTCAATGATAAAATAATAATAATAATAATAATAATAATAATAATAATAATTATGATGATGATGATTATTATTATTATTATCATTGTTCTTATTTTAAAGGGTTGCATTTTTTCCCATTAGTTGGGTTATGTTGCACCCTGAATAAAGTGCCTGCATGGGGAAAAACAATTAATTGCCTCTGAAGTGGCTTTTAATTCAGCCATGTTAAATTGCCCCTAATGGTACACTTGTGCACTGTAGCCTTCAGGAAAGGGGGGAAGCCACTTTAGAAACCATACAACCACCGCCGTCCTTTCATTGTCAGCCTGCATGAAATAAAAAGCCTGTTCTGCTGAATGGAGGTCTAACATCATGTGACAGGTGAAGATTTGTGCACATGACAACAAAAAAAATGGTGAATTTAACCTCTGTGGGAAATGCACATGAATATCTTAACAAGGCAAAACGTTTGTTTATTTTTAGTCTGCCTTCAGACTGCACCTTTGAAAAATTGAGGTGTGAATGCAATGGTCAGCACATCTTTCTTGTTTCTTTTCACCCTTTTCCCAGTGTTAAAGCTGTTTCTTTGTTGTTTTTCTGTTAGTTCTTTGTCGCCCAGCTGGTCTCCTCTGGTGTGGAGAAAATCACTGAGTGCTGACTTAAAGTGCGACCAATGAGCCGAGCAGGGCAATGATTTATGTAATGATCCAAAGCAAAGGGTTAAATTGGGATGTGAATGGTACTGCCCTCTTTTCCTCCCTCTCCCATCCCCCCCCACACACCTCCTCCCCTAAATTGCTGCTTCTGAGGACCTCGTTTTTAGGTGCCCCGCCCCTCTGCGTGGCTGTGAGCCCTTGATAACGCAGTAATTCTCTATCTGTCAGCAGCCAGCCGCTTCCTGTCTTCTGATGCTCGCCTTTTTAAAAGCAGCATCTTTTTCACTCAATTAGATCTTTAGGTTGCATGGCGTGAATCCAAAACGGCTAATTAATTTTAAGTCCTTGCCCGGGTCATGAACGGTGACATACAGTGGAAGTGGGCTAATTCAACATGCAGGGGCCCCGATGTGTTCATGTTGAATCATCCCAAGAGTCATTCTGGATATTTTTGTCTCAGCACACGACATCACTCGTCTCCTCCTCTTCCAACATTAAATCGAGCAAGATAAAAAAAATATATATATAGGCCTACTCTAAAATAGCTTTATTGTAATTATTCTGTCTAATTGTTTTCTTCAATTACTTCAGGCTATGATGCTTGGTGTGGAGTTGCCCATGGATGTACTAGAAAATTGGGAATGAAAATATGTGGTAAGTTTCCGCTTCTTTTGTTTTTATTTTCCAATGCAATTATGGCAAAAATACATCTTGTTTTAATGACGAGATCAAGTATTAAGAGGTATTATACTGGTGAGCATGAGTCAAGGCTGCACGGCCTGCATCCTTTTCCTCGCGGCACAAATGGAAATTAAACGGATTTAGATGAAATGGATTTTGAAATGTCATCAAAACAAAGATTGACCAATAAATGTCCCGATATTTTTTTTTTTTAGCAAAACCACACAACTGGTCATGATATTTATCCAATATTATAAAATAAATAGGAGCATCAAAACTATGCTATAGGCCTCATCCCTGTGCTGCAGCTGATCAAATTAAAGAATAGTTTCTGCAGGATAGATTAAGCGATATTTCCTGCGTGTAAGTCTACTTCAGTCTCTACACCAAAGACAGGCTGACATTCATCATCATGGTGAAAGTCACGCGTCAGTGCGCAGCGCAATTTTCAGGTATTTTTGACCGACACGTTCTGCTGGTTTCATTAAGGACATTTAATTAACACGGAATATAAAAAAGATACAAAACACCATGTGGGGAACACGAAAACAAAATTGCAATCTGGTTGGATTACAAGAGGGGGGTCAGTAGATGTTTACAAAGTGCAAGTTACATTTATCCCTTTTCTGTAGAGATTTATGTTAAATGTATTTCATTACGATATTCTAACTAACAGTAGACTTTACTGATAGTTTTATATATTTACCAATTGAGCATCTGTGCTGAATTGTTATCAGCTTTCTGTGCTGTTTGCTGTGCACATCATCATCGGAGGAGCTGCAATAAGAATTTACAGCCGCTACATGACAGCGATTTGTTTATGCTTGGCTTCAGTTGGATGCTGATGTCACAGGGCTCAACACCCCACAGGGCCCCCCACCCATAAATAGAACTCCCTTTGCAGGATGGGTCTCTATACTCACAAGACGAGAGAGAGAGAGAGTAGATCCCCGGAGTAAGAGATATAGAGGAGATTAAAGTCAGACATGGGAGAGGAAAATTATTAAAAAAAAGGCCTTAAAGGGTTTTAAAAAAAAACAAGTTTTAACTCTCATCATGTTCGGAAATTGTAATCATCCTGCGGACTCCTCTTCTTCCTGTAAACGTTTAGGATTTTTGCAGAAGAACAACAGTCTTGAGGAGAGGAGCAGGATTGTGAGTTCCTTCAAGGAGCGCACAGCCAACATGCTCTCCTGCGATAACGGAGGCGGGGAGGCGCATTTCAGACGCACAGAGACCGATTTCTCCAACCTGTATGCCAGAGGTAAGCTTCAGAAGACAAACTGTTCATGATAAAAATAATTCACCTAACATTAAACTTTGAAAAATGTACTATAGGAAATTCAAATAGTGTCTATAGAAAAAAGAAAACTTACGAAAGATGGTGATAAAAGAAAAAAAACTCATTACTCATTACTCAAAACACTTCTAGTCGATTTTTTATGTCTTTATTGAATATGTTGATAAATGGAAGTCTGCCGTGCTGTTTTTGACTCTTTATTGTGGATTATCATGCATGATGGAAAATATGTGCAATATGAGTGGACTGTAGGTTCATTATCAGTTATTTGTATGATGAGCATTTAGACAACTTTTTTTCTTTCCATTTTTTGATAGTACATTTTTTATTATTAGGACTGTAGAGACAGCTAAACATTTGCAGAATTTGGGTCCAAAACCAATTTACCCACAGAAACAACAGTGTTCAATGCATCACATGGTGTTATGGTATCATGTTGAACTATTGACTGGAACCCAACGTTTTGGAATTTGCACAAAAAGTAATGATTCAACATGTTTTACAGGACATTTTACTGTAAAACTGTAAAAATGACACTCAAAATGTATCCATAGACAATGTTTAGATTGAGGTTAAACAGCACATACATATATAAACAAACATTAATTTAATAGATGCATTTTGTTTTTCAGATCTGTTGCCTGCTAAAAATGGAGAGGAGCAGACCATGCAGTTCTTGCTGGAAGTTGTGGAAATCCTTACCAACTACGTTCGGAAGACTTTTGATAGATCCACAAAGGTCCTGGACTTCCACCACCCTCACCAGCTGCTGGAGGGCATGGAGGGCTTCAACCTGGAGCTGTCCGACCAGCCCGAGTCCCTTGAGCAGATCCTGGTGGACTGCAGGGACACCCTGAAGTACGGAGTGAGGACAGGTGAGAACAAAGAGGCCTGAAGGCGCGGTACGACCTGCTGCAATCAATAACTCTCATTAGATTACATGCCACAGTAATGATTACGGATAAGCAATTTTCTCCCACAGATTCTCTCATGATTAATTGTTTTCTGGAGATTACAGTGCTTTGTCTCTTTATCAATGGCAGGACATCCCAGGTTCTTTAACCAGCTGTCCACTGGATTAGACATTGTTGGGTTGGCAGGAGAGTGGCTGACCTCCACAGCCAACACTAACATGTAAGTAATGATACAGTGTCATTGATCAGTTCACATTTTAATGAATCTTTTCACACAATCAATGAACCGCATGACTTGGATTAAAACAATATGAAAGTCATACAGTTCATTTTTTTCTGCCTTTTCTGTACTGATCTTTAAATGGCCCCTGTAGAATTGAGGCTTTAATTCTGAGAGCGAAAGTGGCAAGCATTAATTAGCGTCTTTGGCTAATGAGCCTGTCAATCAAGCAGGAAATAAAAGTTACAAAAAGGCAATATCTGTAAAGCCAACCCTCCAACTGTATTGTCCTCGTGTGGTCACATCATTCAGCCCTGCAGGCAAATTAAATTGCATATTGATTCACATTCACAGTTAACATGGTGTCTTTGTTTCATGAAATGCTTCTCCTGTGACACAATGCCAGGAGGGGACGCAGCATGCCCTGAAGACCATCTCTACTCATTATGAACTGCTATTAGTGGAACACAGTTTTTACATTGCAATGAATCCTGGCTTTTGTCTTTCATGACTCTGCAGTTTGTGGACACATTGTGTGTATAAGATACATCGTGATTGGTGCCCCTTGAACAAAAAACATTTCTCAAGGGTGTTAGAATGCATTTAATTATACTCAAGCAGTTCCACATCAAGTTGAAAATGTCAGGTGCAGGACAGTCAATCGTGGCTAAAAGAGCACTAATCACTAAGTTTGACAGGAAATGTCATTCTACAAAAACTACAGGAACTCCCCTCCTTCCTCCTCTCTTCGGCTCTACTGTCACAGCTTTTCAAACTTTCAGAATTTTAAGTCTTTTGACTCGTGCAAAACATGAAAAAACTAGGAAAAAAATCCCACAATCTGTTTTGCTCTTGATGTTAAATATCTTAAAACTTAACACACAGGTTTCCACCTAACACAGAACTTAACAAGTGGTTGGGTCATATGCAACATTGTTGATAACTGAATTTAGAAAATAAAACTGACAGCATAATGAAATCTTGGGATCAAGTTGAAAATACACTCATAAGTGTTCAATGATAGACACAATGTGTTGATCAATTCCATTAAACTTACAAAGTCAAAGAAAAAGCTTTTTAAAGGATTTAAAAGTTGAATTGCTTCATTTGTGGTTAATAAAACCACGTCTTATACTTCATAGATCAGTTATAGACTATTCGTTTAAACATACGTTTGACTCATGTATATAACTACATAGTCATCTGGAAAAAACATTCAAAATATCTGAACCACAACTGATTCATGAACCACTTATTATTCCATTAGTCATAATAACTACTGTGACTCATAGATTACTAATGTTTATAAATGGATTATTACAACATTATTACATCATTTCCCTTTCTAAGTGCTTATAGTTGGTCTATGAAGCATGTGTAAATGACTTAAAAAACATTTAAAGAACAATAAGTAAATTAATTCTTATTAAGATGCCGTATTAGAAAGTTGGACCAGAATCTGTTTTTTATTTGAATATAACATTTGGATTATGAAATTGTAGCAGATTCAAACTTGAATAAACTTTTATAAGAAATGGTTACTACGCGTTATGGTACCTCATGTTTTCAGCAAAGTCTTATCTCCTCCTGATAGTTACATTTATACATTTACTGTAGTTTTATCATTTTCTTTTGTTGTCTTCAGTGACAATGACTTGAACCAGAGGGTGGAGGTTGTTACATACTTGTAATTTACCTTTATTAATGACTCCATCAACCCTAATTAGCCCTGCCAGATATTGACTCACACTAATAGACTGACAATCACATCCAGGTCTTACATAATCAGAATGACTGAGTGTCGTCTGCTTGAATGGATACAGTGAAATTAATGTGTGACATCTGCGACGTGGCATCTGACTTGTTTATACTTCCCCTCCATCCATACTGTATGTGTGTATGCTGCTGAAGATGCTGAGGGGCACAATGTCACATTCTTTAATGTCCCACTGATTAATTTACTCTCTCTTCGCTTGAACAGACGGATACTTATGTACTTAGAAGAATATTGGCCTGGAGAAGAGGGATGAGCCAGCCTTTGCTTTAACTCAGAGGAGATAGGCTCTTCTCTGATGCACAGACTTTTTAATGGACTTGTTTCATATAGAAATAATTAAACACTCTAGAGGGTAAAAAAATAAAGAAAACCTTCCTTTCGATCACCTCAAAGTGCAACTGTGCTGATTACAACATCTAACTGTGTTTAAAGATCACATTTCTTGCTCATTTTCTGCACAACCCCCCCCCCCCCCTATCATCTGAATCATTTTACTGCAGCAAACGACCATTTCTATAACAACAAGATGGCATTCTTACTGAAGTGTGACTGTGTACAGAATGCTATATCATTTATACTAAGAGCAGCATGCTCAGTAAATAAGCTGTGCAATTGGTATCTAATGGTCATTGATCATTGGTATATATGTAAAATGATTGTTATTTTACTTAGACTTACACACAATGAAACACATACAGTATATAAAGAGAAGATCATGCTGTATCTGCTACAGGAATGATATCTTTAACACATATTTAAATGTTGTTGTTTTCTTTTTGTTGGCTCCAGGTTTACCTACGAGATCGCGCCTGTCTTTGTCCTCATGGAGCAGCTTACACTGAAGAAGATGAGAGAGATCGTTGGCTGGAGTGATGGAGAGGGTGATGGAATATTTTCTCCAGGTGGGAGCCGATCACATGACTGAGCAGGAGCTCAGTAACTCTGAGTACTTGTACATGAATGCATCATCAGACGTCAAAGAATTTGTATGTGTTTGTGGATTAGATTTTTCATGCCTATAAGCATCACTCTAATGATGTAGTCTGAAAAGAAAGTGCTGATTTAACGACATCATGTTCTACTGGGTAGCTTTATCTATAATAATTAGTCATAATTTGATTACACTGGATTTCATGAACTTTAGTAGCTCAGTCATAGGAACTCGGGTAGGGAACTAGAGGGTCATTAGGTATCAACACAATGTGGAAATTAAAGCCGGTTGTTGGAGAGGTGCTGGTTCATTTTCTTGAGTACTGTCCAGGTGCCCATGAGCAAGCTACTGAACCCCCAACAGCTCGGGCCTATACGTGTGTGTGACGCGTGCCTCACAATAACACAGTGAAAAGTGGATTAATAAAGTATATGAAATTTAATACAAGAGATCCTCTGAATTGAGATACCTTTTTTATATTGTTGTGATTTTCCCAATGTTGGGTAGTTTATGTTTGTTATTTTCTTTCTGATTTTGTATGGCTGCTACCTTGGCCAGGTCTCTCTTTTAAAAGAGATTTTAAAAATGAGTGAGACCTCCTGGTAAAATATAGCAATAAGAATTAAAAATGAATTGCCTGAAACATGCGGCTGTCAAATAAATGTAATGCTGTCTTTTTGTCCTAAAATGTGTGGACTTTAAGTTATTTGTGTTCAGTACACTGTAACATATGTTTACCTAACTACAGTATTTACTTTCTTTAGGAGGAGCAATCTCCAACATGTACAGCGTGATGATTGCAAGATACAAATTCTTCCCTGAAGTAAAGACCAAAGGCATGGCCGCCGCACCGCGACTGATCCTCTTCACCTCAGAGCATGTAAGTCCATCTCTGCCCTTGTACCTCTAGCTATTCCTGACTAACTGTTTAAGTTTCTTTTGCACAAAGTTTAACAATCACTGTCTGTATTGTGATTAATTCATGTGTTAATTCAGAGCCACTACTCAATCAAGAAAGCCAGTGCAGCTCTGGGATTCGGGACAGAAAACCTGATTCTCCTCAAAACGGATGAAAGGTTGACTTCATTCTTAAAACACATGCATCCAATCTGTTGAGAGATACAACATCTGGATGACTTACGCCTTTTTTTGTTTTCTTCTTTGCCAGAGGAAGAGTCATTCCTGCGGATTTGGAAGCTAAAGTAATAGAAGCCAAGCAGAAGGTGAATGCTGATGACAATGATTCAGACATTGTTCCATCCTTACCTTCATATATTCCTTTCCCCAATACAATAAGAAACCCTGCTCTGTGTCCACTTGTAGGAAAGCAAAACATTAATGTGAGTTAGAGTGGCGAGTTTGTTTCATTAAAGTGCTCATATGTGATTCTGCCCACAGTATAAAAGTGCAGCTCCCGGAGCTTATTCTTCAAAGGTGAAGTGATGTGTGGGCTATAAGAAATGGTAAAGCAGTGGGTGCAGATTAGAAGATTATTATTATTATTTGAAAGATGTATATGAAAACCCATCTCTTTGATGTCATCAATTAGAGAGGCAGGATGAATTGAACATCTTCAATTCAGCCTAGAGTTCTAACCGAGTCTTTTTCTGGTGCTTTTATTTTGAAGGGGTATGTTCCCATGTTTGTGAATGCCACGGCTGGTACCACCGTCTATGGAGCCTTTGATCCCATCAATGAAATTGCAGACATCTGCGAAAAGTACAACATGTGGCTTCATGTGGATGTAAGAGATTATTGATCATCTTCTCTATAAAAATGAACATCCGCTGTGGATGTCAGCTCCTTGTTCAGATACTGTAATGGACATAAACAACCTTCCTGTAATAAATGTTTTGTGTCCTGTGCAGGGTGCATGGGGGGGAGGTCTGCTCATGTCCAGGAAACACAGGCACAAGCTAAATGGAGTCGAGAGGTAAGACAGTATATCATATGAACGTCTTTTTGTATGTTTGCACATACAGATGAATGAATAGGACTCATTTACCTTCTTTTTCTTCACTAATCATTATTGGCCTTAACTTTAAGTAATCTAAATGTTGTATGTTATATTCCTCTGAAACATTTTGGCTTCATGCTTTAAGGACTCAAAAGAAGATCCAAAGTCACAATGTAAAGTGCTAACAAAAGGAAATGTGCCACATTTAAGTGCCAACAAAGCTACTAGCAGCTTGTTGCAACTATAGACTGTATAAAACACAGACGTAGTCTCAGTGACATCATCCATTGGTTTCTTTAGTGGAGTTTTGACGCCAAATGAGCAATGTTGTCTCAAACCAGGCTGTGTCTGAAACTGCATACTTTCATACAATTAATACAAATATTTACATCAACTATTTGCATTCCGAATTAATTGTTTGCAGTTTTGTGTATGTAAGAAGTGCCTTGATGAATACTAGATCAGCCATCACTTTCAAGTGTGATACGGAGCTCACTTGTCGTACTTATCTCCCCCTCAACACTGATTTTCAGACGGAGCATAACAGCCAGCCAACACATTTTTACAAACAAAAATGATTGTACTGTAATACATTTTATGTGTGTTAAAATGATTGTTGTTATTTACATCCCGACCATCCTGCTAGTCTGGTGCCAGCTCATTCAATGTAAAATCATAATATGTGATTAACAGAAACACATGACTGATGACGATTATGTGACGCAGAGAGGACTTGGTTTTGTGTTGCTACAAATATACTTCTACTAATCTATGCAGTATACACTTTGAGTATGTTGTAGGAAGTCTGTTAGTATTTGGTTTCGTACACAGCTTAACTTTCAATCAACCTAGCAACAGGCAAAGTGGAGGAGCTGGAGCCAATCAGATTTCAAGGGGGGCTCAGGGCACCCAAGTCCATCTCACGATCCTCCCCTGCCTTTTAGTTAGAACTTTTTTTGAAAATTTGGCCAAAAGGGCGTCCCAATATGCCCAACTTCTTTGAAGAACAATATTTCAGTATATAACAATATAACAGTATTTCTTAACATATGTCTTTGAAAAGACTCGTGTATTTCAATGTCTTCTATGATTTCAACATTGCTCCTGCCTGAAAACACAGAAAAATACACACACACACACACACACACATATAAGCGCGCACACACTCACAGAGCTGTGTTTACTGTTTCAATATCTGTGCAGGGCCAACTCAGTCACCTGGAACCCCCATAAAATGATGGGAGTGCCTCTGCAGTGCTCTGCCATCCTGGTCAGAGAGAGGGTGAGACTCTGCTGCCTGCTGCACACAGTTCCATACTGCTGCACAAATGCATGAACATACAAACATTCCAACACACATTTAATGATTTATGCTGGTGTTTAATTAACCCTACTGTTTCCTACCACCACTTTATCGTTTTCAGGGGTTATTGCAAGGCTGCAACTCCATGAGTGCCGGGTACCTCTTCCAGCCAGATAAACAGTATGATGTCACATATGACACAGGCGACAAGGCCATTCAGTGTGGACGCCATGTTGACATCTTCAAGTTCTGGCTCATGTGGAAGTCAAAGGTGTGATTTTTATCCTCATAAACTTTTTTTGTATTAGCCTCAATTGTGATAGTAACAATTCCCGGCTCGTTTTCTTTTTGGTTTGTTTGTTTTATAAAATGTTTCCTATAGGGAACTGTGGGATTTGAACAACATATCGACAAGTGCCTGGATCTGTCAGCATACCTCTACAATACAATCAAAAACAGAGACGGCTATGAGATGGTGTTTGATGGAGAGGTGAGAACACTTATTCCAAATATTCTAAAATGTACAGCCAAAGACTCACCGCACTGAGCCATCAAATGAATCTAATCATCACTGTCTGCTTAACATCAATTTTTCTTCTGTGATTATAAATATCAATACATTTAGTATCTCAACTGGGTTTTAGGATTGCATCATTTTGCACTGCTGGTGACATGACAAGATGATGCAAAATGACAAGGCAGTTTTTTATTGGTACTACAAATGTTGTTCTCATTTTCTGTTATCAGCCGCAGCACACTAATGTGTGTTTCTGGTATCTTCCACCGAGTCTGCGCGGCTTGCCTGATGGCGAAGAGAAGAGGGAGAGGTTGCACAAGGTAATGACGTGTCAATCTGCTCTATGTGAAACATTTCTATTTACTCAGACTTATTCACAAAGGGTGTGTTTGGATGAAGGGATCCATCCAAAACTGTGACAGATGGTTGCATGTGTGTAAACTTGTGTTTTGATGCTACCATTGAATGGTTTCCATGACAGGTAGCACCAAAGATCAAGGCGATGATGATGGAGTCAGGGACGACGATGGTGGGTTACCAGCCTCAAGGAGACAAGGTGAACTTCTTCCGCATGGTCATCTCCAACACCGCCGCTACCAGGTCAGACATTGACTTCCTGATCGAAGAGCTGGAACGACTGGGGAATGACTTGTAAGAGCACACCTGAACCCTTCTCCCTCGACTAAGCCATGACCTTGGCTTCATGTCTCTTGTGTTTCATAAAGACGTTGACATTTTTGCTTACAGGTCTTATTTGGCAATGCACAACAACAATAACAAAAAATGCCTTGTGTGTCTCTTTATTTGTGTCTTCTGTCTTTAGCAGCAATGACATAATATTAAAGAAATGTGCACACATGGTTATCTGAGTTAAAAGGACACAAGTCAAAACTGGAAGAGAATCACAAAAGCACACTGGTATTCTTGCTAAATCATATATTAAGACAAAAAACCGATATGATGTCTATTAAGTGCAAAATAAAGAAGTTACCTTTCGTGGGAATATGATGTAGCAAGAATATCTGAAAGATTCTGTTGATAAAAATGTAATTTAACTGTTGTTATTTATTAAAAAATCAGTTCTAGAAACAGAATGAAATCAAGATATTTTTTCACAGTCACAGAGCACAATGTAGGAAACCTTATAGCATTGAAAGAAACAGTATTAATGTCAAATATGTATATGATGTACTGACTGTTGGTGCTTCATGTCGTCTATGTAATTATTAATTGATATTCCATAGGTAGAACAAAACTCACGACTATACCTGACAGCTGTGTTTTTAGAGATTTTTGTGTAGATTGTGTATAGTATTGTTACATTGCCTTTGTGCCAAATGTGTCCTAGTTTTACGGTGAGAAAATCCTATGTGTAAATGGATAACACAGTATAAGTATGTACTAGATGAATCACTTTATTTATACCCACCCAGAGATAATAATTGTGTATAGGTTACCTGCTGTCCATCTGTAGTGTATCCTTTATTTTCCTCTTGGGAAGCTGTGTTATATCATAATGTTTGAATTTACATTGTAGTCTTTTAGTGTGTTGTGAACCAAAGAAGGGTTGCATCTATGAACACACTCACAGCCTTTATTCTCCCTTACAGACACTTATGTTAGAAAATGTAACTTATGGCCCTTAACTTGTGTGCAATCTATGTTGTGTACGTGTGCAATGTCCTTGTGATTCACTGACTGAATGTTGTCATGACAGAAGGAGGAGGCAGCTCCTATTGCTAAGTGCATTGTTATTGATGAAGAGCACAATGCTGGGGCAGCTTTTATTCTATGGACATATGATTGTCTATAAGTGTTAAGTGAAGTTTAACTATAATATGCAAAGTTCTGTTCTGTCTTAACATGCTCTATAGGCACACTCTTATGTTAGAAAAACAATCTGTGAAGCTTTATTTATCATTGAGAATGCAGTGTTTGCTACTGTATTGAGATTGGTTTATTTATTGAACAATTGTACATTCCTGAATTAGTGGGATGAAAAATCCCTTTTAAATTAAATGTAGGCACTTTAACTTTATGCCATTGTTTGCAGAGTTTTACTGTAGTATCCACAGCATAATAAAGACATGAGCTGTAGATCATCAGTGGGCACCGTTTTTTGTTTTTTTTATTGTGTAAAAGGACAAATGCTCAAATAAAGATATATATGGTAAACACACTTGAGAAAACTTGCTTCTACTCTTCAAATCTATGTCCTTAAAGTTAAGGTCTAATAGGACCTGAACACAACTTGTTTCATTTTGAATCGTGTAAAGTCATAAGTTAAAAACTATTTCTGTAGTAAATCTGAATTTGGGGAAGACAGAGCAACAAAATGACAAAAAAAAAAGTTCAGTTTGTTTTTGAGCTGTTAAAGGTGCGTTAAGGTGTTGATGAGTTTACAGTTGAACTGCCTCTGTTCTGATATCCGACTTTTACACAAACATATCAAATAATCACAGTAGAAAGATCCACAGTATGGTAGATTAATTAACCAGGTCTGATAGTATCCATATAAAACTGTCTACATCCTCTACATCCACCTGGCTGTCACAGTCATTGGTCAGATTAATCACCCTGCTGGGACTTTTTTATTGGCTGATCATCTCACAGCTGAGATTTCACGAGTCTCTCCTGCCAATTCCTTCACTGCTCTCATCACTCTCACTTTTAAGATATTTATCATAAAACGCGTTAGACTGTGCTGTCTTACCATTTTTTTTTCTAAGGGGCCTATTTGGAGGCTCTGCCTGGCTGATTTTTATTTCAACACAGCAGCCATTGAGGGACTGGCTGTTTCTCTCCTCCCATCCTCCACCGGGCAGAAGCTGCTGCTTTGTTTCATGCTTCAGTGCAGGAATCATTACAGAGCCGGAGTCTCTGCTGCGGTGCAAAGTTACAGGGAACAAAGGAATCAAAGAATAACTGCTCATCAAATTATATAACAGAAATCCTCCCAAATCCTAAAGACAAGTGATATAAATACATTGTTGGTTTGTTTGTTGCTCTAATGATTGCTCTGCAGAAGCATCATGACATGACATTGGAGAATCTTACAGTGATTGAATGTAAATGAATCCAGACCTTCCCTGAAGGAGTGACCTTTCAAAAGCAAGTAATCTAATCAGTAAGCCAATCAGTATTTACAAATATTGATCAGTCTATTCAGTAAAGGCCAAATTGTTCAGTAAATTTATTTATATTTGGTATTTAACAGTGAATAAAAGATAGGGGAACAAGCTGATTAAAAATATAGAAAATAGAAAATGAAGTTTAAAGGTAAGAAAAGGTTTCATTTTATAACTATATTTACATTAATATTTTCTAAACGTCCAACTGTTATTTATCCATCTTTTCTAAAAATTGTACTTCTACTCTTAAAAAGGAGGAGATCAGTGCAGTAATATATTTTGGAGCTGGAGTGGCTATGGCTTTGCAGTACAGGCTCATGAGTGGGGGGAGGGTGGGTGGTGTGGGTGTAGGTGGGGTGGCTCTGAACACTAGACTGTGAAATGTCTGTCTCTGCGCCGGTCTCTTCACCCTCCATTTCACGCCTGGCACACACACACACACACACACACACACACACACACACACACACACACACACACACACACACACACACACACTCAGCCTCTTTGGAATACTGCAAATGAAACAAAGACCATCAAATTAGTCGAGCTCATTACTTTGCCTTCCCTGCTTTTTTTGTTCTTTTCTCCATGACCGACTTGTGTGTTTTTTGTTGTTAGTGAATATTTTGAAGTCAAAGTTTCCTCTCACCCACAGTACATTTGACATTTCCCTCTGTGTTACTCCTCTCTCTTGAACGTCCATGAATCTTGTCAGTGGTTTCACTGATGTGCCAAATATATCCGCTGCCCCTGGGAATCACTGCCACATTAGCTTCCTGATAGATACTGACGTTCCCATTGTGCAAGGCAAGCCTAATGAAATGATGATGATGATGAGGATGATGATATTGACTGTGGGCTGCTTGCCAACCCTTCCCCCTTTTTTCCCCACACACCATTAAAACAGACATGCAGCTTTGGACACAATTTAGCATGAAGAAAACAATTTATTTTTCCAACCTTTTCTAACTGATTTACATTACCGTTAATTTACAACCACTGTCAAAATGACTTTTTGCAACTTTAGTTCTGAAGGTAAATATTGACCTTTTAGTGTGCTTTTAAAGAAGATAATGTGCCTCAACATCTTGTTCTTAAATTCAAGCCAAATAGCAGTCATGCTGGACATTAAAAAATAGTGATAGCAGAATCAATCGTAGCACCTTAAGGTCTCTGACTCCTAAAGTAATTATAATGTGTTCCACTTATCTAAATAGCCCCTTCTTATTGACTGTGTGTCCATGGCTTGATTAATCCTGGCAGAAAGTACATTTTAAGCAGGAGATTAATAGTGCAGGGACTGTAACATGCCTGTCCCCTTGGCTGGGGAGTGTAAAGCTAATGTGGCGCTTGTTAAAGTTGAAAGGCTGCTATAGTAAATGTCTCTGTTGGACGTTTTCCAAAGGAAAAAAAAAAAAAGCAGGAGCCCAGGAGCAATTACACTGCAGCTAAGCAAGCCTCTGAGTGGTGATTGCTATCATGCATGCTAAATGAACAGAACAACCTCCAGTATGGCATGACAGTAATCCAGAGCTCTTGTGTTTTCAAGTACAGTCTTGAAACGGCCATTTTTCCCTCCCTGAATGAGGACTATGGGTCAGGACAGGAACATGTATCTAATGCTACTGGAATCAAATTGATAAATAATAACAACACTAATGATGTAAGAACTGCTTATACTGGTGTTTTTGTCCTCTTGACTTAGGCTATTATAAATCACTTAGCATTTTATCTCTGCCTTCCAGCACAACAGGGCACATCATGTCAGCACGGAGCAACTGTTTCATCTGGGAATAATAACACCTCACAGAGTTATGACGCTAACCATTTAACCCTTACATCTGAGCTTGATATGGTAGCTGCTTTGCTTTCAGTGTAAAAATGTAAAATGTTAAAGAGACACACAATCAGAAATGTAAGTTATTTTCCTCCTCATAGTGGTGGCCATGTCTGAACAAAAGCGTTGTGTTTGAAGCTTTAGTTGTAAATTCTTTGCAGGACTGTACAGATATATAAATCTGAGAGATCTATACACACCAGTGATCGCAGAGTTTGAAGGCGTCAGCAAGCTTCTGCTGAGACACAGAGTTTATTTATCTGCTTCTGAAAGGAGCAAGTGTCACCATATTGAGTTTGTTTCTCCCTGGTAGAGAACAATGGGTAAGAAAATCTGTTACAGTAAGGAACTATGATGGATTGCATCTTTACATTTGTATGGTATCAATATTCTGTAAGAGTTTATTATCAAATCTTATTATTCGATATGTAATTCATTAAATAAAACAGGAAAAAGACACAAAACGATGCCTTCAGTGTGTTTTTGTTTTAAAATCAACGCTAAAATGATGTGACTGAAAGTAATTAATGACAAATAAAATCAGCAGATCATCATACGTAGCATACTCTTATTGCATTTAATTTGCTTAAAAACTGACATAATCAATCAATCATCAATATTTGTGACTATTAATATTCTCCTTCAATCAAATTACAAATCAGCTTACCACGACAAGTGATGTCTATATGTTGATTTAATTATCTTTAATGAAAATGAGTTTGAAGAAGAATAGATTGACTTCTATCTTTATCTTGTATCCTCTTAAATTAAACTTGAGAAGTAAAATAATGAATACAGATATGGGAGCTATTGTTTTCCTTTGCTTCTCAGTCAGCCTTAAAATAACATGCAATGAACGTTTCATGTTATGATCCACTGTACAGTTCTTCAAACAGCCAGATTTGTGTCAGTGTTAAAAAATCTATACTTGGAAAGCGTAGCGGTTATATTGTATGTCCATGTACATAGCAGGTGGTCCAGGTTAGAGTCTTTGCAGCGTTTTAATCCCTACTCCCTCATTCCTGTCACTGAGCATCTGGTTTTCATTAATTTTGACGTAGTTTTGAAGAAGGAACGCCCCAACCCTTTTATATCTCCCTTTAGTCTGATCCCTTCGTTGTATTGCACTTAAAGTCATCAGGTTACATTTCTGTATTATCTTTAGAACTATGACATTTAGAAAAGTCATGTCAATTTGATTTAATCAGATGGCTAACATTTCTTATATTTTACTGTCTAGTTCATAAAGGTTCCATTCAAAGTCACTTTTCATAATTCAAATCAGAAGACAAGGTGTCACATTTCAATTCAAACAATCATTATTCCTAAAAAATGTATAAATAGATCACATTTTGTGTACATACAACAATGATAAGAGTATAATCCCCTTGTCAAAATGTATCTCACCAGGGCTTGATCTCCTCCTTTGAATGATGTGTTTTAAGCTTTAAGTATCATGAAGAGCAGCCTGCAGAGACCAAATCAAGGTGAGTATAGTGGACACACAAACAGACAGATAACTGATGATTGATGAGACAATCAAAATGCCGAGCAAGTTTATTTTGAATTATTTGATAAGAGCTGCTGCACTACAGAGATATTCACATACATATACATTAATCTAATACATGAGCCCATGTTCTTTATGGCACCGATAACATAACTTTTGATCAGTGTGATCACAGAGACATTTTATTCTCTCACATATTCTCTAGCTGCTGTTTTAGCTCGGAAATGATTACAGGATCAAATCAGCAGCATCTGGGACCTGAAATTAAAAAAGAACTCAATAAAACTGAGGTTATCGCTGATATTGTTGAGCTATGTTGATATTTATAGATGATGGCAGGAAGGTAAAAGCTACAGTAAGAGGCTACTCAACTTATGGAAAGTATAGGTAGGGTATATTTTCTATGTATGTGTGTGTGTGTGTGTGTGTGTGTGACATGATGTTTTTCCTTAAGAGGTTGTACAAATGTAAAAAACCCCAGCAGATGGCATTGCTTGGGAACTATTGAGGAAATCAAAGTGAGCAGTATAGCACACAGATAATGACCGAGTTTCAACAAATATATTAGCAGCAAAATGTTCTTAACACCAAATTAATGAAGAATACCACATTAAGACTGTTGAAGTGTTAATACATTTACATTTTGTGTTAATAGGCCTTCAGCTTTATTTCAAACTGTAGACCTGCATCATGATATC